TAAGTGTTGAAGTGTGAAAAAGAAAAGTTTACGATAATATCATCCAATCAAAACGAAAAGAGAATAAATACTTGGTCTGAAAAACCACACTGATCTGAAGATGCCAGAGGAAAATCTAATATAGAACAATATATATATACTTGTTTTGAAACATGAGAACTCTTATGTAGCGATGGAATCATATTTTTTAAATAAATAATATATATATATATATATATATATATATATATATATATATATATATATATATATATATTCAAACACTGCAAAGTTGACGCTAAAAATAAATACTAACATAAAAGTAAAGAATAAAAAAGAGTGCGAGTTCAATACCCGGTTAAGGCAGTGGAGAACTTGGAGAGGGGAATTATTATCTTTGTCGTTATATTTATTACAACGTTTCGGTCGTTGTACGCTGCGGCCTTCTTCAGGTGGTTGGAATGTCGAACTGAACCCTTTATTTCGCTCACTAGGGTAGACTGTTCTAGTTCTACGTGCCATGTTTAATGGATGTCAGTTATCAGTTATCTCCTGTTAATTTCCCTCTGAAAGTTCTCCACTGTCTTAACCGGGTATTGAACTCACACTCTTTGGGTCCTGTCACTGGATCTAACCAACGCCTTTATCCACTGTGCCATGTGTCCTCAAGTAGATAAAGGGTTAAGTTTGACATTCCAACTTTTCTCATTATGAGTCCCAGAATTTATGATTTTAATCCCAAGCATCCTTTTCGTTCCCATTTTCATTAAAACATCCTTTCAGCTCCCATTTTCAGTCAATTGTATTGTCAGTATAAGTCTGTAGTACCTCATTGTCTCAGGTACCCTATTCTTTTGTGAAAAAATTGCCCAGCACTCACTGGCATATAGAAAGATTGATAACGCACAACAGTTCAGCATTTTTTTTCTTTGTCTTTAATCACATTTTCTCGATTCGTAATACCCTGTTTAGTTTTTGGAAAACATCTTTGGCTTTTCAAATGCACATTCAGATTCCTGTGTCACTTATTCCTGTCATCTATTATAACACTTCAATCGCCGAAAATATGCAGAACCAACTGAAATCTTGTTAGCAGCTGCGAAATTGTTCGGTATTTTTTAAAAAATATATCTGCTTTGAAGCAAATATATTTTATTGCCAGTGTTTTTACCAATTCTCCCATCTCTGTGGTTTTTATTGCTACTTCTCACCTTCCTGTTCTCCATCACTTATAACGCTTCACACCTGATGACATCGATTTCTGGCAAGACTCCAACATTTGATGTATGTTTCAATATCTCTGTACTCGGTTCAGAATTTACGAAACTAATACACTTCCACAGTATTTGTCTTGGGAAATTACACTTTTCATCAACAATCAAAAGCGAATATATATTATGAAGTATTGGGATACTTCTTACGAAATTGTAAGAAAGAAAAAAGCTTTCCGGTCATTCGTTTCTTAAATAATTATATAAACTTTTAGAGACGAGTAGCCTAATAGTTGATAAGCGCGGGAAAATAGAAATCATCGAGCAAAGTTCAAATTCCGCCTCAGACACTCTTTTGTACTCATTACCTCGAGCTATCTTCGATAATATATATCTAGATATATCCCGAGACTATATATATATATATATATGAAATGGACGAAGTTCGACAATTATTTTAAGACATTTTTTATGTTTATACGTTTTTTTTATAGATATAAATATTTAAGTAAATGCTCTGTTTATAATAAACATTTACTTAAATATTTGTATCTATAAAAAGAATGTATAAACATAAAAATATCTTAAAATAATTGTCGGACTTTGTCCATTTCATAATGTGTGACGTCATTTGTTTACATTTGGATACGCATTGAGCAGATATGAATGTACGTGAGAGAATCAAGGAATATTGTAGCTTAAAAGCAGTAAAATCGACCTAACCGAACGATCCTCTGTGGCCCAGTCGGTTAAGGCTCGCCAGGCTATATGACAGTTCCGTATAGGATATAGGTTTGATTCCTGTCGAAGGACGAATATTTTCTATAAAAATTTCTCGGACATTCAGGCCGGTAAATGTTGTTTAATACTGTTTATTATAAACAGACCATTTACAAATATTTGTATAAAAAGAATGTATAAACATAAAATGTCTTAAAATAAATAAATAAATATATATATATATATATTCTACTGTCGAGAGCCACTCAAGGTAGAGGATTAGAGTCAAACTGGTAATGATATAAATGTAACAGAAAGTATTGGGAATTATGAGGAAAAGGGAGATAACGATTAACACTTGCTTTGAAAAGGTCAAGATTTAAGTCTTCGGGGAAGCACACTCACGAGAGTATGTCCCCAAAATGTAATTTTTTTTAAATCAATTCACCCCAAGCGAGGGTATAATTCCACTAAGATGCATTAGGTTATTGAAAAATGAAAGAGAATGAGAAGACTTTTGAAAGAACCGGAAACCCAATCCTGAACAAAAAAAAAAAAAACAAGGGAAAAACTTCTACTCTCGTTCAAAAGACCGTGGAGGTTTGTGAACAGGCCGATAGTTCTTGAGTAAAAAGTTGTCTAAAGTGGAAGCTTCTTCTTAGATTTGAAACAAGGGGGAAATAAGGCTGATTCGGTTCCGTGGAAGTAGCATGGCGTGTCATGAGTAAGTCAAGAATGGAACTCTTCTGAAGATTCACTGTGGAAATAGCGATAAATATTACGTTCACTTCGCATTAATGTCTTTGAGAAGAAAAACTGTCTTCATAAATACTGCAGGAGACACACATAAAACCATTCCACTATACATCCCAAAACAATAATGGCAGTTTGAAGGGGGAGGCTTAAAACGAAGCTGTGGAGAACGATGATCATTTGTATTCTGAATGAGGAGGACTTATAAAATTATCTCAAAAACATATATTAAATCTTCCAAATATTTTCTTTAAAAACTAAAATTCCTACCATAAGAAAAATATAATATACAGAGTGTGACATGTATTTCAAAATAAGGTCAATGGATTATAAATGGTAGAAAAACAAACGTCATTTTAACATTTTTTGTTTTATTTGGTGGGGGGGGTATTAACATGAGAGTTTCTGATCTTAGACATGAAACGCAAAGACACGCTCTGCTTCATGGTCTTGGACGCCAAACACAAAAGAAGATATCTATTTTCTTTTAAATGTCCTGGTTCTATATATTTGTGTACAAGCTCAGAAACAGATAATTAAAAGTCATCTGAACAACCAAATACGTTCAGCTGATCCAAGTTATCATCAACTTTGACCTTAAAAGACTGCCTCATTATCAGACTAAGGATGAACTCGGACATCATGTAAAGTCCTACGCGATGAGAAAAGGGTAGTCCATGTCTGACAAACCTGGAGGAACTGTAGGAAGTGATCGCAGCGCTTGTTGCACGAATGCATCGCAAGGAACACAATATGCTATGTTCTTCTCCAAAAAGAACTTCGACCAGGACGGAAAAAAAAATGAACAGAAAATACGTCAGATGACAATGCGCAGTATACACGGGAGTTACCACGGTGATACACACAGGGCTGGCTCAAGGTACTGTCAACTAAGGGCATCATCAACACCGAGGACGCCATCTTCATCCACGTCATGTGTTTGGTCTCCTCCAAAACTAAAGCTTATAAAAACATATTTGCGGTCATCCCTGACTGAAGACATTTTTTTGTCTATTTTGTCAACAGAAAATGATCTTGTAAAGAAAAAGTATAGAACGTGTCATGAAAAAATTTGCAGATTGTCTTGAAAAATAGCTGAGGTAGGATAATTAATCACTTGAAATCGACTTTCTTTGCTATTGTTCGCCTAATACAAGACCCAAGAGTCACCCAAGGTAGAGGGTTAAAGAATAAGGTTGTTGTATGGACGTGAGGGAAGTGAGTAGTTCAGTTTATGAGAATATGTAGATATAGTTAACGGATGAGCCTAGACTTTGCAAAGTTAAGACTGTAATCATCGTGGAAGCACCCCGACAGGAGTCTATTCTACTAAAGACTAGGCCTTGGGAAGAAAGGTTTGAAAAAATGTTTCAATTAGGATAACGAATCTTTTCTTTAGCCTGTATTAAATTGTATATTTTAATAAACTCTTTATTCTATATTTTCAGTTTTTCTCCTTGTGGAAATTTAAAAAAAACTATATTTATAAGGACATCGAAGTTCAGCTTGGCCGCGGTGTCAGCAACCCTAGGGCCGTCACTGGATGCACAGACCTTATATCTAACTGCCCGTCTCTACTTGTAGCATTAATGACCAATGAAGGCTCCGCCACGCGGAACGGCATGGCAGGGCCTTCATTGAAGGAGATCTCAGGAACAAGGTTATCGCTTCAAACGAAATGCTGGTTTTCAGACCAAACTCGAAGGTTGATGTGAATCATGTTGACTACTATGTCTTTGGTAAAATTTATCGAGAAGGAAATTAACCAACAATCACACGATGCCAAGGACTAATTGAAAGCCCACATTGTAGATGTGATGATCAGAATGAACGTGAATTACCTGACCTGGGGAGTCTGTTCTGAGGCCACATTCAAGGATGAGACGATTTTTTTGCCATTTTCCATCTTTCTATGTTGAAAAGATTTTTTTCCAAAAATATACTATTTCTTCAGTCGTTCCCAAACCTTTTTTTTTCTGGACCGAATTATCGGAATGAATATTTGCTTGCGCTTCACCAAAGAGAAATGCAGGTGAAACGGTGCAAATAGCTCTACGGCAAAGAAGTTCCAGAGGGAAGGTTAAAGGGAGATAACTGAAGATTCGAATTCAGAACATTATCATTGATAACTCTCTCCTCTTATTTGCGGACCCTAGTTATTATATTCTTAATACTTGATATAAGGCAAACATATCACAATGATAAAATTGGTCAATAATTATTTATAACTATTTTTGCTGGGATTCATGCATGCAATTACAAGTAATCCATCATAATATTTTATATATTTATTTTTGGAATGTAATTTCTTTAAAACTGTTTCTAAATCTTTTTCAGTCATTCCATCTGCTATCCTCTTCCGCCTCATCTGCTCATCCTCTTCTTCCGCCTCACATCCTCTTCCGCCTCACCTGCTATCCTCTTCCGCCTCACCTGCTATCCTTCCGGCTCATCTACTATCTTCTTCCGCCTCACCTGGTATCCTCTTCCGCCTCATCTGCTATCCTCTTCCGGCTCATCTGCCTCTTCTTCCGCCTCACCTGCTATCCTCTTCCGCCTCATCTGCTATCCCCACCTGCCCTCTTCCGGCTCATCCTGCCTCATCCCCTCTACCGCCTCACCTGCCCTCATCTGCTATCCTCTTCCGCCTCACCTCATCCTCTACCGCCCCATCTGCTATCCTCTTCCGCCTCACCTGCTATCCTCTTCCGCCTCACCTATCCTCTACCGCCTCATCTATCCTCCTCCGGGCCTCACCTGCTATCCTCTTCCGCCTCATCTGCTATCATCTCCTCTACCGCCTCACCTGCTATGCTTCCGCCTCATCTGCTATCCTCTACCGCCTCTTCCGCCTCACCTGCTATCCTGTACCTGCCTCATCTCTGCTATCCTCTTCCGCCTCACCTGCTATCCTCTACCGCCTCATCTGCTATCCTATCCCTCTTCCTCTACCGCCTCACCTGCTATCCTCTTCTACCGCCTCATCTGCTATGCGCCTCATCTGCTATGCTCTTCCACCTCCACCTGCTATCCTCTACTCTCATCTCTTCCGCCTCACCTGCTATCCTCTACCGCCTCATCTGCTATCCTCTTCCGCCTCACCTGCTATCCTCTACCGCCTCATCTGCTATCCTCTACCGCCTCACCTGCTATCCTCTTCCGCCTCACCTGCTATCCTCTTCCGCCTCACCTATGAGGCGCACCGCACGGTTTCACGCGTGTATATCGTTATTTAATAAGTTTTCTGTATGGATGTAAGAGGGTGAAGAGAGTTGTGCAGCATATGAAGATATGTCAAATAGATAACAATTGATGCTAGTCTTTATTAAGTTAAGTCTGTATGATCGTAGAAGCATCCCCTCGGGAGTCTGTTCTCGGGAAATAGTTGTCTCAACGGAATCCTTTCCAATTTTATAAGAATAGAATGAGGATCATTGGTCCCATTGAACCTGGCATGGTAGTTCTTGGTTGTCAATGGCCGAACTAAGGAATGTAGTTCACCAGAATATTATCCATAGAAATAGCGTTAGAATAGCGAGATGTTTGCGCTAACGCAACGTCTGGGAGAAATCGGTTGTATGGGTTGAAAATCATTCATCGCCCACAAAGCCGTATTGATTCCTTTGAAATCTGTCGAAACTGAAACATCCGGCAGCAAAATCTCTGATCGGGAAATTTGAGGTTTCGCGAGGTGTGGAGCTATCTCTTAACTGCTGCTCTTCCCAGATCCACCCTGATCTGGGGTGGTAGCACCTGTTAGGGTCCCAGCTATGGGCAAATAGTCACTCCCACCCTCCAAACAAATCACAGGTTTCCACGACACAATAAACCAACTTTCCTTGCAGTAGACGTAGCAATGGATTCTTCAGTATCTCTCCGCTTCATGTAACTGCTAAACAAGAGGCCAACATCTTAAATAAAATGAAGAAAACTGCGTAAAATACTGCGTATTATATGATAGTGAATACAGTACTTTTGTTTTAAAAAATAGACTTTGTTTTTAAAGAAATATTTCTGCCCTATATAGACAAAACTTTAAATTATGTTAGCATCACACCTAAAAAGTTTTTAATTAGTTTACCCATCTTCCAGCACCTGACTGCCGGCTTCGCGATTAAAGGTACATCCAAATACCACTTGAATTGGAGGAAAATGTGGCACATTTGTTTCTGTATTTGTTAGTATTTGTTTCATTTTCATCTCAAGACAAAAATTCTGGAGATGCAATTAACCTCGAAAATAAAACAGAAAATTAACCTACCAAAACGTTACGTTAAAAAATACGCTAAAATATTTGGACATTACTTTAGAGAAAACTTCGATTGTCTGCTTCATTTCTTTTTCGCTGAATTACGTTCGACAATTTTCTCATTTCTAATTCGTCTATTCTTCCACTCGAACGCGTAATTCTGCTGAAAAAATTATTACAGCAAATCCAAAAATTGGTCTCTTTCTTTAAAGAATAAAACTAAACAGTTCTTCAATCAACTGATTCAGAATATATACCTTTTATTCAATATATATATATATATATATATATGTATGTATGTATGTGTGTGTCTGTGTGTGTGGTTTTATAAAGTGTTTCAGCTAAAGACAAAAGGATCGAACTAATTCTACAAAGATTTAAAAAGTGTGAATTAGATCAGAATAAAGAGAGATAAACTTGAACCACCTTGAATTCATTATTCGCTTGTTTATCACAAAAGATTGTTTCATATAAAAGTCAAAGAAAGGTGAAAGAATTTTCGAAAGTTTCAAAAGTTCTCACGCTTCTTCCTGTTAGATAAGGCGCTGTACGCAATAAGGTGAAAAATGAATCTTTTCCCTAATAGACGACAACGGACAAATAGAAAACATGGAAAGCGAATCGCGAAAATTTGTAAAAACTTTTTTTAGCAATTGACATTTTCATTGAAGACGTCATCGCTCGTAAAAACAGATACGTAGGCAAAGGCACATGCGCACACAGAGCCTCCCACGCACACAGAGATTTCACAGGAAGTAGAAGCCATGTTTCATTTATTATTCTTGTTAACGAGATGGAAGTCTTTTCGATCAACAAAATTCCATTCCGTTTTGCAGCTGATACTCTCAAAGAAAATGGCTAACTTTACTATATAAATCTATCTTTACAAATACGCCATCTTCCTTCAATATCTTTCATATAAATAGTGACTTTTCTCTCTCTTCAAACTCGCTCACTTTCTGTCTCTTTATTCTCTCTTTTTATTTCTCTTTCTCTCTTTCTATTTCTTTCTCCTTCCTTTTCTCTTTATATTTATCTTCATGTCGCGCTCTCTATCCCATTTCTCTTGCTTTTTTTTCTCCTTCTTTTTCTCTTTCTTTCCCTCTTTTTCGCGCCATTTCTCTCTTTTTTTTCTTTATATCTTTCTCCCTGCACCTCCCCCCCACCGCTTTCTTTGTCTCTTTATCACTTTCGTTCCTTCTTTCTCTTTTGTCTCTCTCACTTTCTCAATTCGTCTCTCTAATTCCATTCTTGCTTTCTCTCTGTTTCGGTCATTCTCTAACTCCCTCTCTTCTTTTTCTCTTTCAATGTCTCTCTCTCTCTCTCTCTCTCTCTCTCTCTCTCTCTTTCTCCTCTCTATATTTCTCTCTCTTTCTTTCTTTCTCTCTCTTTCTCTCTCTCTCTCTCTCTCTCTCATTTTATCCCTCGCTCTCACATTCTGGCAAATGTATAACGAACATAATACACGCATACATAATCAAAATCAATCGTTATACGTTAACACAAGTGCAAATGAAACATGCTAACATATAAACATTTTCGACTGAATAACATTGGTGCAAACACGAAATTGGAACATTCACCTGTTGTTGGAGAATATCAATTCTCCTGAATGTCTACTATAAATACTTGAAACATAATTGTCCAATCAGTTTGTAAGTAACATAATACAAGCATTGTCTGATGTGTCTTATTTTCTGATTAGTCAATTCTTTGTCCATATAAATAAGCGTGTTTTTGGCATTCGCTAAATGGAAAATATGACATTTATTCGAGCAGACATATTGATATGGTGACCATTTCGTTTGATAGAAGACATTTTATAAAAAAAAAAACAAGAAAAAGACTTTGTTGAACGAAATGTAATTTTTGAAACTTCCTCGAACATTTTCCAGCATTCGAAAAGAATAGAAACGTCTATATGCTGAAGGAAAGTCACTTTACATAGTGTTAGTGTTAATATGCATGAAATAAAATCTGTTCATCTCATATGATTAACTGGGCCTTACCAATCCGGCATTTTTATTACTTCAAACGAAAATTGTATGTATGTATACTTCGTATTCACAATAGACGTCTTATTTTTATTTGTTTAACAGTGTGAATTGCGTCTATCAGGTTTGCGCATTCAATAACTCTGAGTAAGGAAAATGCTTCCCACGGAAAACGCTTTTTTTACAATCATAGACCTAATACACATTGTTCAAAAATGAGTTGTCTATTTCAAATACGAAGTGTCCACAGTAGTAATATTTGAAATAATCAAAACGTCGGCTTAAAAATAAATCGATTATTTCTTTCGAATTTGTTTTGTTTATGTTTAAGATGTTTATATTTAAGATGCTTTCGCGAAAATAAGTGGAATAAAGAAGCTGGGGTTTTTTTTTCGAAAAAAGAGAAAATAAAACTTTCTTTCTGTGAAATTATGTGTGGCCGATTAGTAAACAACCCCCGGAACAAAGGGTAGTTTTCTCCTACAAAGAATAACGCGGGTTCGATCCCAGCCGCGAACACTATTTCTTTGCTAAAGTTTCTCGAATGCACAGCCCAATAGATATAATGTACAATTGTTTAATAAATAAAAACAGGGGGTCTATTTCAAATACGAAGTATCTATTATAATCTCTTCTCTCTCTTAGGCTGTCCGTCATTGCTGACGACAACGCTGTCCGTCATTTGCGGGGTAGCAAATAAGTTAGCAGCCCGGTTCCGCTAGCGACAATTTCTCGGGCAGAGATTCCCGGGAAACATGGCCGGTGCAGAATTGGCAAACTGAAGATGACGCTGGCATGGCCTTCCCTCGAGCTCTCCTCGTCTCTCCTCCTCGAAGTGCGCAATTTCCGCGACGGAGAGAAACAGCCAGCCGATCCGTTCCCTCGCGAGGTTCTCTAAATGTGTCGGGTCAATGTTGCAAGAGATAAAAGCACGCTTAAGATAGTCTCGGAATCGGTTTCTTTGGGCCCCCCAGGTGGGCGCCTGCCAGTCTCGAGCTCTCCGAAAAATACAATTTTTGGGGAGGCGATGTTCTGACATGCAATGTAGAAGGCGTTGTCGGATGATGGCCTCGATGCTGACAACCTCCGCATGTTGAAGAAACTCGGTGTGGAGAATTTTATCTCTCCAAGTAACGTGTAAGATTCACTGAAGGTAGCGATGTAGAATGTCTCAAGCAGTTTTATTTGTCGACGATACAGGGTCCAGCATTCACAGCCGTAGACCAGTGTTGAAACAACAACAGCTCGATAGACAGCGACTTTGGTGGCGAGCCGGAATCTTCTATTAGAGAAGACCCAGAGGCGGAGACGCCCGAAAGAAGCGGAAGCAAGGCTTATCCACCGAAGAATGTCTTCATCAATATGTCGATTATCGGTTATGATGCCACGGAATGAGTTAACGTTAGACAACGAAACGTTGTCAATATCCAGCCGAGCTGCTGTATCATGTCGTTTAAATTCCGTTTGAATGTATTATTTAGGTTGATATCAAGACCAAAATGAGAATAGGCTTGATTCAATGAAGTCAGGGACTGTTGTAGTGAGAGTGCCTCATGAAAAACTATAGCAGCATCGTCGGTATAATGCAGTTCATAGACAGGAATGGTAGAGGTTACAGTCTTAGCTTTGAGACGTCGGGCATTGAAGACGCTTCCGTCAAAGCGATATCGAATACGCATTCCGTCTTTGGGTTCCATATGTAACTGAGATAGAAGAGTCACAGCAGCCAGATATATGTTAAAGAACTCAGGAGCAAGAACGCTGGATAATTCAGCGAGTATATCCTCGTGAAATTGGAGTAGAAGACTCAGAAAGGTCGGCGAACAGCCAATTTTGGATTGTATCAAAGGCTTCATTTAAACCAACGAAAGCAAAATTAATCTTTTTTTGTTGTTTTCTTGTTTTTTCGTGTAGTAGACGAGCGACGAATATTATGTCGATTATCATGTTATGTTCAGGTCTGCAGCCATATGTTAATTCCGACTGAATTCACTCTGTCAGAAACATGAGAAGAAGGCGAAGCATAATACAGCCCGAGAATCTTCCCGACCACATCTACGAAGGAAATTCCTCTGCTGTTGCTGCAGATGGAGCGATCACCTTAATGTAAACGCTTATGACATTCGCATATTTTCAGCGCTTAAGGATCACTCTAATTTTCCAGAACAGGTCAAAAAAAAGGAAAGGTGCTGTCCGCCATACTTATACACCTTTACAGGAATGCATTCATCACCGGGGAACTTCTTGTTTCTTATAGATTTTATGCCGTTGTTAACAATCATCCGATGTCGGAAGAGAGTTCAGCTCGGGGAGGCCAGGGAGAGTCGGAAGTTAGACTAAAGCTGAAGAATTAATTGCCATGTCTCTATTCAAAAGTTCTTTGAACTACTCAGCCCAACCTGTTAGGATTTCTTCTTTTTCCTTGAACAGAGGAGAGCCATCAACGGAACGAACAGATGGTATGGCACTGCGAAAAGGGCCATTATAATAACGTTCAACGTAATACACCCACAAATACCCACACAACCAACCAACCCATATATATATATATATATATATATATATATATATATATATATATATATATATATATATATATATATATATATATATGGGATTAAAATGTTACTTTTCATAAAGAATATGCTTTTTGATTAGCTACTATAATTTTGTGATGTGGGTTGAATCCAGAAGTTTTTAGCATACAGATTAAATGAATGAATGACTCAATATAAACTGAGGATTCAGTGTCTAAGCATAATCATAGAAAATCTTTGCTAGAGAAACTAGTTGTTAAAAAAGCAAACGGAATCTTTTAGAATAGATGAAATTTCCCCAAACCCAGTTTCCTCAGAAAGTTTCTGTCAACGAACAAAATAAACGGAAGCGTTTTAATAAATGTTGAAAGGAAAAAAATATTGTAAAAAAAAATCGTCATCGGATATTTCCCTTCATTTATACGGATATCCGCAGGAACATTCCATCTTATCATTAAAAAAGAAAAAGAAATGTACATCTTCCATTGCAGAAGTTTTATTAGAAATACACGTCAGTTTGAATGAAAAAAAAGTAATCTTTTATCTGTGGATAATTTCCCGCGTTCTTGGCGACGCCTACCATCAATTGCAGATAGTTGGTTGTATGTACCACGTGTCTTTCTTATTTACCCTCTCATCAACTGCGCAAATGAGCATAATTAGAAACAGTTTTTTTTTGTTTGTTTTGTTTAGCAAACGACAAGAGACGTTCTTTAGGATTTCAAAAAGAAACAAAAGATTAAGATTTTCATTTGTGACGTGTGCACAAAAATGTTATCCAAGAAATTACCAAAGACGACCATAAAATAAAATAAAAAAAATATCGCATTAATGAAGAGGAATATAAATAAAGATATAGCTAGACAGATGAAAAGATGAATTTAGTATGGTACAAGGCTACAGTACACGAGTATCTGAGAATAAATGAATTTAGCAAATTTAAAGCGAATAAATCAGACAAGCTATTAAGTTTAAGCAGTCCTATAAGCAGGGGTATTATTCTTGCCAAATTTCCCACAAAGAAATTACCCCCAAATCGCTGATTTTGAAGGAAACGCACTTGTGATTTTGTTTCCGATTGTATATGGTTACAGATATATATGTGTACATATGCTCGTATGTATGTATGTATGTATGTATGTATGTATGTATTTGCATGTATATTTGTGTGTGCTTCCTACACACGCACCCACACACACACATATATATATATATAATTTATTCAAAAATTATAACAGAAATATGTTATGAAATCACTAAAAAATAGCCATTTTGTTTCAACATCTCTGGTGTCTTATCCATGTATGGTGTTGAATGTAGAATACATTTTGTTCTACATTCAACACATTTTTTATTCTATATTAAACACCATCACTTATAAGATACCAGAAGTGTTGAAACAAAATGGCTATTTTTGTAGTGATGTTATAACATTTTCATGTTATAATTTTCGAATAAATTATTTTTGCTCTACTCTGTATTGAGCACTCTTTTAAGAATAGTATTTTTGGTTATTGAATTTACTCCGTATACACCAATCCTATACTTGTATATATATATATATATATATATATATATATATATATATATATATATATATATATATATGTCTGGTGATGTATTTGATTATTTATGTGATTGTCATGCTGGTGCTCACCTCGTATATTTATTATGAGACATTATTATGATTGGAGTTTTTATTATTGGCATAAAAGAAAGTCGCTTTACGACATATATCATGTAGATATGTAAGCTAATTAGCCTGGCACAAGAAAGAAGTGAGATAGCTATCATGAATCAAATCTGCTGCGAGCATACCTTTTTATATGATTGTTTTTTCACTGAAATATTCATTCAATACAAGATGCCGTTAGTGAATGAGATTGTTGCATAAACGGAGGAAGTATGCATGGATTATAAGGATATGTAGATATAAAACTATTTATTTTCGACGTGAAGAGGTTAAGATTTGAGTAGTCAGTTAAGCATTCACCCAGGAAACTATTCAACAAAGTAACAGTTTCTGAGAAGAAACTGAAGAGAACTTCTAATGGAACATAGATTTGTCCGAACGTACTTGAAAAAAATAGACAATAAATATGGAATTCTGAGAGATTATTGAAATTGACAAAAACTGTTTGAATATACAGAGTGATTGAAAAGTAAATTCCACATTTTAAGATACTTATAATTTTTATATATCAACAACTAGAATACACGTGACCTGCTTGGTCACTGACAGTTCAAGAGAGGAAACATCTGAAGAAAGTTGAAACAAAAATACTCACTGTTTAAACAACTTATATTTTTAAATCTTATACACTTAAAATACTTTTTAGATTAGATTAATTTTAAAATATTTTTTAATATGCCAAAAGTATTTTAAAATCATAAGCAGATATACCCGGCGTTGCTCGGGGTCTTAATCATTGTGATACATTATTGGCAGTTTAAGAAGAAACCCTGAAAAGGGCTGTTCAGTGATAGTGTAATAATTAAATAGTGGTAGTTCTAAAAAGGGCTTAAGAGCGTTCTCTGAGAGTTTAAGAATCAAACTGTGTTAGCTCTAAAATGAGCTAGAATACGTTCCCTGAGAGTGTAACAATAAAATAATGGTAACCCTAAAAATCTTTGTCTGGTTTTCGCAGATATACCCTTCAAGAGCGTCATTATCGTGGGAAGCTTCCTGAAATATGCCGGTTGGAAGGGTATTTGAACTCGATCAGCGTACTTGCAACAGGACGTAAGCTTGCAATTAATTTCATAGAAAAAATATGCGATGTCAATAAGCGCTCTGTTTATAAATTTGTCACTGAATCCTGCATCAAACCTACGATGCATTAGTTGCCCACGGTGTTTGAAATTTTCAGAAAGGTCCTCTTTGTATTTTCCCCATAAAGCCCCAGGATCACAGAGCTCATACGTGTGCAATAACACACATAAGATGCAGGTGACTTCTTGCTGTTCACATTGCAGCAGCCTACACAAGAGTTACATCCCACTGAGTTCATGTCTGAAAAAGGCCGGTACGTGCAGCAAACGTGCACATTAAACCTTTTTAAGTCGTCGAAACACTCCTGTTGGCCGGGGTGGACTGTATATACTCTGCCAAGGCAGTGGTCAAACTATATGACTGGATGTCTATCAACAGTTCCTCCTAGCGTTCTTCATATCCATGTCTTGTCTTTCCAAGTGTAGTATGATGGTACTTGAGGATATAAAAGGTTCTGAACTAATGGAATTCTGTTGAAATATTTATTGGAAAATTAGTAGTGTTCACGCGAAGAGGTCAAATGTCATGTTGGCAGTTCACCCCTTATTGTTAAGCCATAGGTATAGAGGGAGTGCGTGAGTAAATATATGGTATAAGCAGAATCTCACAGAATCTTAATCAGTTTAATCAAATAAATAGCAAATTTAAAGCGAATAAATCTGACAAAACGTTAACTTAAAGCAATCTCTTAAGCATGGGTAATATTCTTGTCAAATTTCCCTAAAAGAAATTACCATAAAAATATTGAATTTGGGGGAAGCGCACTTATGATTTTGGTTCCTATTGTATATGAATACAGATATATATGTGTACATACGTTCGTATGTACGTATGTGTACGCGTATTAGTGTGTGCTTGTCACACAAACACACACACACATACACTTCTTATCCCTTTACCTTCCCCTACCCCTAGTTATATTAACTTGTTCTCTCTTCTTAATAACACCATTCGGCTAATAAAGAGGTTTCTCTGATGGAGCTCGCGATACAGTTTCGATGTTTAAGGAAATAGAACAAAATAGTGAGGATATCAACTCAAAAACCTCTACACACTAAAATAATATCGGATAAAACATCCATTCCAATATTACTGTTGATTAAGTTGTCCGTACAAAACGGAAGCTAAAGATGATCGGGATGCGTAGTATTTCGCTCAAGAATATCTATAAAGAATATCTATAAAGAATATCTATAAAGAATATCTATATATATAAGAATATATCTATAAACTACGCGAAAATATTCGATGAGGTGCAACACAAAGATTTATTTGAACTACCAGAAAAACTTTATATAGGAAGATTATTGAAATAACCCAGAACATTTTTTGAAAGCAAATCACCTGCATATGAACAGAAAATGAATTGGGCAACTACACAAAAATAGACAATGGCGTAAGACAAAGCTTCTCACTCCTCAGGTTGATCCTCAGACAACCAGATGTCCTACTATGATTTATTGTTTTTGGTACAATTTTAATAAATATAAGACAACAATATGACAGCATTTTAATGGCAAACACCGATAGAAATTGCAGAAACTCTTAAACAGGTTCGTAAAAGAAAGCAAGAAAAGACAAAATGTTTGGTCGTTATGTAGAGGGTCAGTTCAGACTGCAAATAGAGTAAGTAGAGAGATTTTGAACCGTCGTAACAAATGACAGAAAATAGGACAGAGAAAACTGAAGTCGCATCCAACAGCGGAAGATGACCTTCAAAATCTAAATAAAATATTAAAAAACAGAAACAAAACAAAATGTGATAAAGTTACGCAGAATCAGTTCCCCTATATGACAGTGAATGCGAGATAGTTTCCTCGCAGATTAAAGACGTAACCTAACACAACAGAGATGAGGTTCTACAGAAGGATACTGAGTATATCGTAAGCGGAAAAATTATGTAATAAGAAAGTTTTAAAAAAATGGAAATAAAGCGCACACTTTAAATTTGGAATCAGAAAGAATCACTTTAATCTTCTAGTTCACACAATGAGGAAAGAGAGTTTAGTGAATTAGATACGAACATGACACATTAACAGCAGGATGGACAGTGAGAAACATAGCAGTACATCGTATGAGGGCAAACATTGCTTCTAGCTACAAAGGATAAGAAATGATAGAGAGCTTGTCGGGCAGGGACACAACACACAGAAGAAGAATATTTCTTGGTATTTATCTTAATCAATTCATGTTTATTCCAATCTATAATATGCTGCATCATCCAACCATTCCATCGTTTACGCATCATTTTAACCTGTTCTAAAATCTCTTCACTTCATCCGTCCTGTTGTTTTTGCAGTTTTCTTAAACGCCCGTAAATATAGTTTACACTATTCTATAACATTCTGTTTTGCTTATATCCTCGAATCCTGTTTCGATATCTCGAAAGCATAGTTTTATTAACTAAGGACTTGTATTTCTTTTTCTTTTTTCTTTCATTTCGGTTGTCTTTCCTTTTCCTGGTGTTATATTTTAGCAATTAATCAGATTGTTAGATCTCATTTTCCTTTGATTTATTTATTAATAATTTCGCTTCTTTACGTCAGTGTTTTATTTGCTGTCCTAATCTCATTTCCCATCATGCTTTTCGCATGTCAGTTGCTTTCTCTGCCTGTTTTTCTTGATACTCATCAGATATTTCTGTAATTACCATTACTTCTGCATTTAGTAACCGCTTAATTTCGGAGATCTGGTAATCATTTAAATATTACTTCAGCTATTGATCTTTCACTTTTCGCGTTTACTTTCTTCATGGCTAAGGATTTTGTTTAACTAATATTATTTTCTTTTTATTTTCAGTTAAATTTCATTTTTAGTGCAAATATTTTGCTGTTTCATCAGTTATTTTCTTTTATTTATTTTTTTTCTCTGTTAAAAATTTGTATTCATTCGTTTTGTCGATTACCTTCTTTCTTGTTGATTACATGTCCGAAAATCTAAGTCTTAAGTTTTCTTATTTTCCTTTTAGAATTGTTACTTTTGAAATAGAAAAGGAAAAGAACTCCGTTGGCATTACTACCCCCCTTCATGTTTTGCTAATAGTTGCATAAAATTTGCCACTTTTTTGTAAGGAAGTAAGGAAAAACTTTTCAAAGAATGGGTCAATATAGACAGAAAGACCTCTTGGTCCAGCCTGATGGCCTTGGAGTTATACTTGCCGATTATGCTAATCTAGTCTGTTATCTCAGACCCAGTTTTCTTTGTTTTATTTAAACATTACCAGTGTTGTAAGCGGGAACTAAAAAAGCGGAAGCACTGTGTCAGTTATTGTTCAAACAGGGAATTACTGTGTCATATTTTGTATGTATGAATAAAAAGCAGGAGTATCGATTCTGCAGACAGAAGTCACCAGAAAATTACGTTAACGTTATAGATCCTGTTACCAATCTGTGACAACTAGTTTATATTTTAACAGTCAAAATACAATGCAGACGCGCTGGCGCTAAAACCCTAAACCCCTTTGAAGGTCACGCGTAAAGTATCCAGGTGCATGCGTACACAAAATCCAAGAAACTAACAATCTTACTTACAGCCCCGCAGACAAGTTAAGATACGGATCCCTGGATACTTCCACGGCCTAAGCACGACACCCAATCATACCTTCACTCATCAACAAAGTTGAATAATATCCATTTCTTTCTTTTACAGAAATTATCATAAGAACATTTCTTAAACTCTTCAAGCAATTCACCTGGATATTCTCTACATTCAAAATCCCCAATAGATTAAAGAGTTCTGACTCATTTGCTTTATTCTTTATTTGTATATTTCCATCAAGTAATTTACCATGTGTAATTCTTTTCCGTTACTACACAGTGCTTTCGTAACATCAAAGTCGACCCCAAAACAGCACTATTGTAAATTTCCTGTTTTAAGTCAAAAAAAAAAAAAAAAAATAGTACAACGTTATTGACTCAATTTATATATTTCTTATATTATTCAAATTTTATCAACGTGATCTTCAAATTTAGATCATCGTTAAATTTTACACGTATGTCAAGGCACATGACAAGATGCCATTTGAACAAGTGTCAAGAGCTGGGGGGGGGAATTGTTCACAGCATCGTTATGAATATTCAGCTTGTCTATGCGGATCATAACTGATTGAACTATTGAGAGAATAGGATATTTATTCGACATCACTCCTTGCCTTCACATATTCTTTCTGCATAATCGAGCGTTCTGCTGGTGATAATCACCCCGAAAATCTGAAAATTATATCCCAACACTCGATCAGCCTTGTACTACTCAAAAAAGAATTACGTTCTTACTTCATAATCACTAAAAGTCTAAGACTAATTTGCCGAGCTTGTTTTATACTAAGTTTCACTGAAAACAAGGGTCTTCACTGAAGGTATGGGCAACTGAATGGCATGTGTCATATAAATCTAAGACTAAGTAGAAAGAAGTAGACATTTACGAGGATAAGAAAGAGAGATACCGACCCTTCACTTATAATTCGATGTACGCAGATATTTTCTTCTTTATTTACATTGCTTAGTCATTACATCTCAGTTACTCATTAATTCGACAACACAGAAAGTTCGATAATTTCATCATTTTTGCATAGACTGTCATAAGACAATTCGTTCCCTTTACACTTTCTTTCTGAATGATCCTTGAATATTCTATACAAAAAAAAAAACCTCCCAGTGGATAAAGACGTTGGTTAGATCCAGTGACTAGACCCAAAGTGTTGTGAGTTCAATACCAGACTACAGAAAAAAAAACGTGCGTTAAAAGGAAATAACTGAGACATGGAACTAAAAGAATCTACCCCGGTGGACGAAACAAAGGGTTCGGTTCGAAACTCCAATCAGCTGAAGAAGGCCGGAGCGTACAACGGCCGAAACGTTGTGAATATGGCAATGAAGATGAGGACAACATTCCGAATAATGTAAATAATGCAAGTAATCATAATACCTCATCTCAGAGATATAGTCAGAATAAAATGTCATTTTATTTCTTGTTTGTATTCTCAACCACTTGTTTTTGTTTGTCAACGCACGACACCTTCTCAACTTCAAATGACAATCCCAAACGTAACACAACAAAAATAATAATTTTTTTACAAGATATGACACAAGACTTTTATTTACAGTTAAGTTAAGCGAAAGGAAAAAAGGTATATACGCTTGCACACATTTTTTTCGGTACCTTATAAAAATAAGCTCGGAAGATAAATTGATCATGTGAAAGTGGGACTTACACATTTCGTAAAGTTAAAGAAAAATATATCATTCCTAATGGAACACAGCGGAAATTTGCCTCTAGTTGCTGATGTTCTAATGTCTTAGGAGTCAAGAGATCAATGGCATTAGTTGCAAAACATGAGGGATGACGAATAAAAAATTTTAGAAGCACCAATTTCAATTTGAAAGTTTCAGAAGAGTATTGTTTTTACTTTCGGTTACGTTGTTCGGAGTTTTTGGCTGACATTGTGTGCTTTCGGTGTTTAAAGAACATGTACTCTCTCTCTCTTCTCTCTTTCTCTCTCCCTCTCTCTCTCTCTCTCTCTTCTCTCTCTCTCTTCTCTCTTTCTCTCAGCTGAAAATGTTAATTGATATGCTTGGCCATAAGTACTTACGTGTGGTGAAAGGTTATTTACACTGGCCGACGACCTTGTCAAACTCACAAAGGTATCTTTTGAAATTATCGCTGGTTTGAAATTCCGTTCTTCTGATTTGTGGAAAAACATCCGAATGAAGATTTTTTTCTTCTCAGTACTTCTCAGTTTTCCTTCTCAAATTGTATCGCCTTTAGCAAAACAGTGTCGCCACAAACACCTCAGAATCAAGTCCTATCAGGAAAAGCCTTCCCTGAACAGATAATTTGACATTAAAGTCTTCGCTCTTAAGTACAGTATCCACATAACTGTCTCTATATTTTAGTTTAGTCTCGATAATCTTTCTTCTTTGCTTGTATTATTCTTTCCTTACTTCTGTTTCTTTTACATTTGGCGCATTATTATGAGGAAAGGGCAAATGACGTCTGAAGACTTGTCATTTATTATAACATTAAGTCCTTCAATCCATCAAATTTCTGAACGTCATTGCTAAACACTGGGTGATTTCAAGTTTCCTTATCCAATAATCTTTACAGTATTGCTGTTGTCTTCTTTTATATATTATGTCTCATCAGATCGCGAACGATTAAGGTTCTCCACAGCTTCCTATCACTTTTAGCTCTGAGTTATATTTGTCCCGCTAGTATCATTTTAATCCAATTACATAAACTCGTTAAGTATGTTACTCGCTGTTTCCCTGCAGTCCTCTTGCCTTCCATATGTCTTAAGAGTGTCAAAGTTTCCAAGCCTTCTCTCCTTGTTGCTCTCATGTTCCGTCTCTTATTTGTTTTAATTCTTCCTTGACACGACCATACTCTGTAGTTCTCTTGGCATGATCGATACGTCCATACTCTGCAGAATTTTCATTGCTTTTAAGCAGTGTTTATTTCCTTTAAGTCCCATGCTTTGATAGTTTCATGTTTATTCATTAAGTTTTAACACGTATAATACCCAGAGGCTTTCACAGCATGCATCCTCCATAATGTTTATTCTTATGAGTCATATTAAATTTATGCACGTGCAGTAGAGATCGCGTAAATGAGCGGTCAGTGTAAGGGTTGTCGGTTCGTCGTGGAAAGTGATATCAGCGGACAGGATTCGAATTTATTGGTTGCCTGTTGCGTTCACTTTCGGACTATTAGACTTGGAAAAGACATGAATTCGTTTCGCTTCGCCTGATGGTTAAATAACAGAGAAGGCTGGGCTCTCCGGCCTAGGCTAAGAGGCAGTCTACCAAGAAAATTTCCTGAATCCCAAACCTTCGGGAAGCCAAAAGGAAAACACAAACACTATCTTTCTAGCAGGTGATGACAGTTCAGTAAAGGAAAAGAATCTATGGAGATCTATGACTAGCTACATCTTGAAGGGATGTATAGCTGGCCACTTGTATTCGAGGATACCCGTCTACTAGAGCGGCTAGTCAATCCCTATTGTAGACGGTTGCTCAGGCACATTTGTGTTTATTCAACACCCACAGAGACCACCTGTGGTTTATACTGCAACTATGCTGAGCAGACCTTAGTTACAGTTTCTGGGAGAGAGCGTGTTATCTAGCGTGATCAACAATTTGAACAAGGCCAGCACGCGCAAGCCCTCAGCCACGATGACTTGTGACTTATTGCTAGCACAGTTATCGACAGCCCTTAAGGGTTCTGTCTACCCAGTTTCATTCAAAAAAGACTTGGATCAACCTGTGATATGGTTTTCAGGAACTTTCCAAAGTATCGATCCCTCCAGCCCGATAACATCAGGAAATTTCCTTTCTGACAAATCGACCATGGTGAGATTCGAACCCGAGTATAATGGTCAGAATGCGAACGCTCTAACCACTCGGCCACTCGGGATCGAGCACTATAAAAAGAAGCATCAAGTTGTTTTTCGTTGGAGGTCAAGTGACAACATGCCATTTCAATTATCTAGTATTATTCCCGCTATTACTTATTCATAGTATCACGTAAATATTCATGCCTGTAATAAATGCTCATTTCTATTGGATATAATAATGACAAATAATCTGTTTACAGCTCGTTCCTCGGTATTTGTGTCAGTATTACTACTATCTCTGTTCTTACTGTTTTCATTTTTGTTATTTGGTCCAAATTCTCATTAGTATCACCGTTTTGAGTCGGCTCTGTAAACACATAATTTGCCAACATAACAGGTAATCTTCATTTTCTTATTAGAACGTGAGTTGCTTCCAGATATTGAAAATGATTTCTGCTTTGGGTAGCTGTGTCTTCTATGATTTATAACAAACTGATTATCTCTATCGTAGACTGTCAAAGGGTATATACAGACATACAAACACTAATTCCAGCTGGTGTTTGGTTAATGATTGGGGTTTGAATATGTGTTGCAACCGAATGTACTCTCGTCTACGTAAAAGAAAATGCGAGATCTCATTACAATTGAAACTCATAAGCGATGAGAGTGAAAGAAATTTTCACAACACATTAGTGGAAAGCATAGCAACATTTCCTTGAAGGCAGTCGTCGAAATATGTAATTAGAGGAAAAAGAGATTGGAAAATCGCAAATCAAACATATTTTGTGTTGGAAATATCGTAACACGAAAATTATCAAATTAAAGTTTTGCTATGTGCCATTTATATAGAATTCTAACTGAATTTTGCCAGAGGATTAATTTATTGATAAAATTAGAAAATTATATACATAAAGTTAGCCTCAAAGACGCCATCACTGTTTAGGGCTTTACCATTCTTCCCTTGAGAACAAAAATAAACATAGTTTATGCAATGATTCAGTAGACAGCAGAAGCACCAGAAGAAGATATGACAGTTAAGGGAAGCTACGGTTTAACAGTTCAGCTTTTTCCCTTCAACTTCTGCTTTGTAATTTATTTAAGAAAAGTCATTTGCTGTGTCACTATTTCTCCCTATCGTCAACATCTATTATCAATTGAAGGTTGATTCTACAGTAGGCAAGGGTCATATTGTATCTCTTTCATTGTTCCTCGCATCCTTGTCAGCCAGAAACAATTCAAACCGAGAGGTCTTTTCAAAATAGTCATTCTATTGCATATTACATAGAGCCGACTCTGCTGGAATTGATCAAGATTTACATGGAGCGCGTGTATGGGATTTGAGAGTCTATGACCCAAGATTCGGCTCCTTTTTTGCAGGATAGAGCACACAATATAGCTTCGCCGACTCTTAGTTCTCTAGATGTTTTTGTACTATCGGAAGCGTCATTTCCCTTTGCTAATCGGTTGTCTATTTTACCTTAGCGCGACGGATGGAAGTTGATGCCAAACCAAAGGCATCGCCTCATGTCTCACTTCCTGAAACTATCTTTCGGCACGCCAAAGCTAACTAGGATAATTTCATATCTTCTCAGCATTCTTCAAAACTAGAATCTCCAAAACTGCATCCATCACTTCCGAATGGATCCTTTCTGGAATGGAAAGTTTTATCTCTCCGAAAAAATATCAACAAAAACAAGATAGCTATCTTTGGTTCATGCAAAAATATGCTGATGCCATAGATAAATGTAACCACGACGACCATTTCTATCAGAGGGAACGGGAGTAGTAGGGACCCTTGTTGCATTAAGAATCACCCACACTCATTACAAGATAGTTCTAGAAATTGGTTCCCGTAAGTTCTGGAAAAATAAATGTTCTGACGTTATTTTATCTTTGTCACATAAGGCAAGTCTTTTTGCAATTAATTTTAATAAAAATTAAACGACAAAGACTAAGAAAGTTACCGGTCCGGACAAAATATCAGTGTTTGTTTTGAGGGACATTTCAGATAAATTGTTTAAGCTCTTCCTGAAGGAGAAATGCTTCCAAACTCAATGGAAGGTATCAACTGCATCCACACTTTTGTTTTTCAAGAATGCAGAGGAGTGCTCATCTCCGTAAAAATCTGCCGACAAGCAAACTGTTTGTCTATGATAAACAGGAACAGCCTCCTAAGCACAGAATACTATCAGTTTCGCCCTTCTAGGCCCACTGCTGTAAAAACGATCAGTTGAAAATGTTTTTGTACTTAAAGAAACACATATGCATACTCACAGACAACTTAAACCCCTGAAGATGGTCTCAGATGAGATTAAAAGTATTTGGGAAAATAAAAAACTATTTGCAAGAATGGTGTGGTATTTTTGTTAATCAATTTTCTAAGGCTACCAAGAAATTAATCCGCGAACTTGAAAGGATCACAATGAAAACTAATCGACATGATATGACTAAATTATTTAACCAAACATTGTTTGAATGAAAATATGCTGCCTAAATATATATATATATATATATGTGTGTGTGTGTGTGTGTGTGTATTATATCTGTTTTATTTAAATCCTCGCGAATTCTCGGATCATCTTCTTAATGTTGATATTAAAAACATTAAGGAAGGCGCCGTATAATTTTTTAATTTCTTTTATTTTCCCAAGTATTTTCAATCTCATCCAAGATTATCTTCAGGGGTGAATTGCTAATAGAAAAAATGAATTTCATTGATAGTTGTGATTTTTTTATAAATGCGCAGGAAACGCGCTCTGTTAGAATTATAAACACGCTCCTGTCAAATCGTGAAATGAAGGTCGTTCTGAACCGGTTGTCTTCAAAATCCCTTCACACGAACGTATGTGTCCGCCAATGTCTCTATTCTGGGTGCTACGCTGTTTCTGATCTTCATCAATGATCTTCCTGATGTCATCAATTCACATTTATGTGGATGACTATCATTTACTTTTGTCTTAATAGCAAATCCGTCAGAGCTGACGAAGTTAACCTGGGTTCTGCTCTTGAATAGGACCTCCAACCAGTGGTTAACTGGGGCAGGAAATGGCTTTTAAATCTGAATGCCTCCAAAATAAAACAGCTCTCATTTAACCACGATAGAGAATCTTTCCTACCTGACATCAGCATTGCTGGTATTTGACTCATGGTGGGCAACACACTTCGCCTTCTTGGTCTCACGTTTTAAACTGACTGGAAGGGGAACGAATACATCAAATCAATAGCTGCATCTACTGAAGGGAAATTGGG